TGGCTTTGATTGGCTGATGAGTGTCTTTGTGGTCAATTAAAAGTGGTAGAATGTATGTACGTGGACTTGCCTAAATAACTTTAGGAGAAGATAATCTGAAACATTTGTGACCTTGCACAGATCAGCAACAGACTTTTAAAAATAAATTACCTTTATTTTAAGGTTTCAGAATAGTAATTAGGTTCTTAACTTTGTATATCAGGATGAAGAAGAGAAAGATGATGGCGAAGCTAAAGAAATTTCTACTCCTACCCATTGGTCTAAACTTGATCCAAAGACAATGAAGGTAACTTTGAAAGAGGTAGTATTTAGTTTGAAATCTCCAAGCAGGAATAGAAAATGGGATGGTGTGCAGCTGTTTGTTTGCTTTCAGACAAAAGCTGTTAAATATCAAGTCGGATTTTATATATTCTATATTGTATTTATATGGATATCAAAATTAAGTAAAAGGAGACTTCGTAAATCAGTTCAGCCAATGTAGAAAACAGAATTTCTGATGTAGAAAGCAGAATGTCTGTACTCAACAAGGAGAAGGGAAGAGGAAAAATAGGAAAAAGATCCAGTTTTTAAAATAAAATTTAAAAGTAAAAAGTTGATTGATGTACAGGGTGAGGTAAAAGTAGGTTTACAGTTGGTCGTATGGAAAATATGATAATAAAATAATTAACCCTGACCAGGTAGGTCAGTTGGTTAGAGCATTGTTCCTATATGCGAAGGTTGAGGGTTTGATTCCCGGTCAGGGCACTTGCAGGAGTGAACCTAATGAATGTGTAGATGGGTGGAGCAACAAGTCGGTGTTTCTCTCCCTTCCCCCCCCCTCTCTAAAATCTATACATTTTTTAACAAAATTTAAAAAGGGAACTTCTGGTCAAGATGGAGGCATAGGTAGACATGCTTCACCTCATTGCACAACCATAAGAAGGAACACAGCTAACTTAAAAAAAAAACAAAACACACCCAAACTGTCAGGAAATCACCCAGAACTGCATGGAAATCCTACAACCAAGGATTTAAAGAAGCTATATTCACCCAGACGGGTAGGAGGGGTGGAGAGGATGCTGTGTGGCAGCGGCAAGAGGAATGGGCAGTTCCACATTCACATGTGGTGGATAAAAATTGTAGACACCTTGTGAGTGAGCAATCCCAGCCCCAAGCCAGACCACTCAGCCCAGGGTTCCAGTGCCAGGAAAAATAAAGCCACATAACTTCTGTCTGTAAACCCAGTGGGGGTTGGAACAGCAGAAGCTGCCGGTGTCTCAGGAGAGCCCGGAACATACGCAAACACCTACCCTGAGAACCACAACAAAGGCAACAGATGGAGGGGTGCCAGTCATGTACAGGAAGTGGGTTAAGTGACTGTAAAAGGGGCGAGTATCAGACAAGCCCCCAGAAGTCAGCTAGCAGTGGCATTGGCCCCACTAAGACCCCTACCCACAACACGGAGCCACAGAGCCAAGAAGCAGGTTGCTCCCCCCACCACCCAAGGCTCCACCCTATACAATATAACAGGTGTGCTAAGACAGGAAATCAAAGAGGCCCTACCTAGTACACAGACATAGGGAGGCTGCCAAATGAGACAAAAGACATAATGGCCCAAATGAAGGAAAAGAACAGAAGCTCAGAAAAAAACCTAAACAAAATGGAGATAGCCAACCTATCAGATGCAGAGTTAAAAACACTGGTGGTTAGAATGCTGAAAGATTTCATTGAATATGGCAAAAGCTTAAGGAAAGAAATGAAGGCTATACTAAGGGAAATAAAAATCCACAGGAAGCCAGCAGTGAAGGGAAGGAAGCTGGGATTCAAATCAATGATTTGGACCATAAGGAAGAAATAAACAATCAACCGGAACAAGAGAAACAAGAATTCAAAGAAACAAGGAGAGTTTAAGACTGGGACATCTCCAAAAGGGCCAACGTCTGAATCACAGGGATACCAGAAGAGGAAGAGCAAGAAATTGAAGACTGACCTGAAAAAATAATGAAAGAGAACTTCCCTAATTTGGTGAAGGAAATAGACATACAAGTCCAGGAAGCACATAGTCCCAAACAAGATGGACCCAAAGAGGACCACACCAAGACACATCATAATTAAAATGCCAAAGGTGAAAGAGAACCTCCAAAGCAGCAAGAGCAAGGCAGAAAGTTAACCTACAGGGGAGTTCCCATGAGGCTTTCAGCTGATTTTTCAAATGAAACTTTGCAGGCAAGAAGGGACTGGCAAGAAGTATTCAAAATGATGAAAAGCTAGAACCTACAACCTAGATTACTGTCTAGCAGTGCTATCATTTAGAATTGATGAACAGATAAAGTGCTTCCCAGACAAGGTTAAACTAAAGGAGTTCATCATCACCAAGCCCTTATATGAAATGTTAAAGGGTCTTAAGAAGAGGAAGAAGATCAAAACTATGAACGTTAAAATGACAACAAACTCGTAACTATCAATAACTGATTCTAAAAAAAACAAAGCAAACAACTAGAACAGATAGAATCACAGAAATGGAGATCACACGAGGGTTATCAGTGGGGACAGGGAAGGGGGAGAATGGGGGTAAAGGTATAGAAATTTAGAAGCATAACTGGGTAGGTATAAAATAGAGGCATGTTAAGAACAGTATAGGCAATGTAGAAGCCAAAGCATTTATATGCATGACTCATGGACATGAACTAAGGGGGGATCGCCATAGGGAAAGGGGGTACCAGGTGGAGGGGAAAAGGAGGGAAAATTGAGACTACTGGTAATAGCATAATCAATAAAATATACTTTCAAAAACAGTTTTAAAATTTGTAAAAAAGATACAATAATTAATATAAGAAAAAACTTCGTGATTCAGATGTTCACAATGGTAAACCTACTTTTGCCCCACCCTGAATGCTGAACTGGGAAAGATATAATATAGGAGCCTCTTTTGAAAAAATCTGGTTAACCTGTACTGCCTATACCAGTTCTGTTTGCTTTGGTTTTGTTTTTTTTTGCTCCCCAGTGTCTCTGGGCCTATTATTGTCCTGCAGTTTTGCATCTTTGGGCTTACGATGTGAATGTAGATCCATGGATTCTGCATACATACATTCTGCATAGATCAGAAGATTAGAGGCTGATCATTACTTAACTTTTGCAGCTTGTTAATTGACACATAAAAGTTGATTTATTTGTCGAAACATACATAAAAAAGACACTTCCCAAAACAGTTTCCTTCTTTATTGTGAAATTTGCTTTTTAACCCACATATAGTTCTGTAGATTCACAAAATACAGGCAAATAGATTAAACCCTACTCCCAGGACATTTTTGTCAAATTAATGGCATGCTATTATGTTTCTTACTTTAAAACTTACATTTATTTTTATTATAAGTGTAATGCACACCTATTTTAAAAATTGGTACATATGTAAAAAATAGAAAAAGTTATTTGAGCCTGTCACTCAAACACACTCACTTGAGCTTATGCATTTTCTTCCATTCTTTTTTTTCTGAGTATAAGCTTTGTGATTGATGGGTTGGTTAAGTCTAATCATGTATACAAAATTGTTGTCTTATTCTTTTCAATTAATATTGTTTTCCATGTAATTATTTTTAAATGTTGTATACTGTTCCACCTAGTTGATACATTGTTGTTTTTTAGCTATTACTCTTTTCTTGAATATTTAGATTCTTTACTTTTTAAGAGAGGAGACTATTGGAAGGAATGTATAAGGGTTTTGTGTGTTTGTTTTCCAATGTTTAGGTTATTTCCTGAGGGTAAAATCCTAGGAATTAGAACTACTGGGTTAGAGAACATTAACTCTTTTTAAGGAGCTTAATACATGTTGTGAATTATTTTTCAAAAATGTTGTAATAAGTTTGCATTTTTATAAACATTTTATGAGCCGTTTAAGTATCCCTTTCACCAAAATTTTATTTTAAAAAGCACAGGAGAGAAATGCATAATTTATTCTCTATTTCAATATCCCATTTTCTTTTCCTGTGTTTTTATGATCTGTATAATTTAGGTAAATGATCTGCGAAAAGAATTAGAAAGTCGAGCCCTTAGTTCCAAAGGGTTAAAATCCCAGTTAATAGCCCGATTGACGAAACAGCTTAAAGTAGAAGAGCAAAAAGAAGAACAAAAGGAATTAGAGAAATCTGAAAAAGAAGATGAAGAGGAGGATGATAGAAAATCTGAAGATGATAAAGAGGTATATATTAAGTTATTTAAATATAATCCTTACCTTACTCTACTTTGGTCTGACTCCCTACCCTGTGGTGTTTCTCTGTGTGGACGCCCTCCTGGCTCCATTTGGGTTTTATTGCCTGGAAACTGGGGAACTCATCTGCCCTGGGTCATGATAGCTGTCCCTTCTTGCCAGCATACATCCCTTGTATAGACACCTGCTTTGTTTAAATGAATTGCTTTTAGAACTGAACTGTCAGGATAGGAAAAATTGAGTTGAAAATGGTGATACTGTAATTCCTAGCATTTTATTTTCACATATTCCCCTTATCTGTTTGATTACCCCCTGATACAGTTTTAAAATTAATACACATCCTCTCAGTATCCCTGGAGGATTGGTTCCAAGATCCCATGGATACCAAAATCCATGGATGCTCAAGTCCTTTATATAAAATGGCTTAATACTTACATATAACCTATATTTGCAAATAGTCTACAGGAAGGTATGCCTATACATCACTTCATTTGAGCGGGTTTGTTGTAATGCTTGGAGTATGGAAAATTTCAGCTTTGCTTTTTAACCTACTTTGCTTTTCTCTTATGTTTTTTTTTTTAATTTATTGATTTGGGGAAGGGGGTAGAGAGATACGTTGATTTGTTATTCCACTTGTTTATGCATTCACTGGTTGCTTTCCTGTATGTGCCCTGACCAGAGAGCAAACCTGCAACATTGGAGTATCAGGACAATGCTCTAACCAACTGAGCTACTTGGCCAGGGCTTCTCGAATATTTTTGATTCAGAGTCAGTTGAATCCGAGGATGAGAAATGAACAGTTACAAAGGGTCTGTGGTAGAAGGCAGAATCAGTGTTTCCTTATTTTTTCATCCTTGTACAGGGACCATGGTAGTCATTTCTATCATTCTAATTTTAATATATGTGCCGCTGAATGAAACAAGCAATATTTGTCTGGTTTTCAAGATAATGAATGAATTAGGTTCCCTGTCATCTTCAAATGTATATATGTTTGTTTTTTAAATACCTGTTTTTGAAAGGATTTCAGGTCTTTGTGTTTCTTACTCCTACTGAAGCTCAAATTATCCCTTTTTTTTGCCAGTGGGTGGGGATATATTCAGACACAATACTAATGATACCGCCATAAATATTATTGCTGAGGTTAGTTTAAAAATATTTTTGCATTTTCTATTCCTATTTTCTCCTTTTTGTTTTTATGTTGTACTACATTGTCCAAGTATGTAGCATTGCATACTATCTTGTCTTTTAATTCCCCTTTGACCTTGGTTCTACAGGCTAAATATTTGATGCTCACCACTAGTCCTTTTGTCATTGTCTCTGAAGCTCACCTGTAGTAAATTACTCAGAGCTCATGGTAGCAATGTTTAAGTTACTGTATGTTGACAACAGTTTGACTATACCCTTTGTGCTTGAAAGTCGGTTTTGCTGAATATAAAATCTTTGGCTCACGTTTATTTTTCTTAACTATATTACATATGTTACTCCTGAGAAAGTTTTGCTGTCAAAAAGTTATGATAATACAATTTGCTTTCTGATACAGTCACTTGCCATTTTGCCTAGATATACAAATTGGTCATTTTATTAGAAATGTGTTTCATTATTGGTCATTCTGGATTAACAACTTCAGATGCATTGTGTGCTCTTTCAGTACATAATTTCTGATTTTTTCCAGGAAGTTTCTCTTTAACATTTGTGGTAAAGTATACATAAATAAAAATTACTGTTATATCATACAGTAATAACTCTCCAACCCCTTGCCCCATCTCTGGTAACCTCTATTCTGATACTTTCTGTCTCTGAATTTGCCTGTATTAGATACTTGATATAAGTGAAATTGTACAGTAGATATCTTTTTGTGTCTGGCATCTCTCACGTAGTGTAATGTGTTCAGGGTTCAGCCATGCTGTAGCATATATCAGAACTTCTTTTTAAGAATGAAAAATGTTCCATTGTATGTATATATTCCTCATTTTGTTTGTTCATTCATCTGTTGATGGACATGGGGTTGTTTTCATCTCTTGGCTATTGTGAATAATGCTGCTATGAAAAAGCAAGTTCCCTTTTCTCTTTAAGTTTATCTCTTGAGTTTATTTGCTTTTGTATTCCTCCTAGTTTTATTCTTAAATTTCTGAAACTATTTCTTGAATGCTGTCACCTTGTTTTTTTTATTTTTGAATTCTTATGTTCTTTTCATGTCTCGTAACAGTTTCTTTATGTCTTAGCACACTTTAATGTAGTAAGTTAATGTTTCTATCCATCTTGTGGCCATGTCTTTCTAACCCACTTTCATTGCCTCTACGGATATAATTGTTCTCCTTTTTCTCTTTTTTAAAAATACTAACTTTGTATCAAATTTGACCTCAATACTTTTCCTATTGCTCATATCTATGTGAATTTACTTTGCTTAAAATTTTATCATAAGGGAGTTGCTTCAGATAGCTTTTACAACTTCACAGAACTGTATGTTCTATTGTTTTCTTGTTCTGTCAAATAATATGGTGGCTTTCTGAGATTTCTCTGTTCTCTATCACTTTTGTCCTCTTTCCATGTCTCTGTGTTCCTGTCCTGCTCACTGTTGGTTCAAATCCCAGATGTTTCCCTCAGTGTAAGACCCTGTGCTGGAAGGATGTCCTGGTAAATCAGCCTTGCAAGTTCATAGGGCTAGAAGTTTCTAAACCATATCAGATCTTAATATGGACTCCTTGTCCTCACTATTGTTGGAACTAGAATATTGCCTCGTTTCAGTTGCTGTCCTTTATTGACCTGCTGCACTTTCCAGTGAATGCCCACTGACTCTTTTTCTTTCCCATTGACTATTTTGTGGTTTTCCTGTTCTGAGATCCATCAGACAACTCCATTATGTCCTTCTGCTTTCCCCACATGCAGACACCAGTCATAGATCTTTAGTTCTGTGGCTTTTTCCCATGCACTTGTACATTGGGGTATATAGAGATACCTTGTTACCTTGGTTTGCAGTGAATGTGAACGGATTTTGGTTTGGGTGTCTAGATTATTCTATTCCTTTTTCATGTGGAGATGGAGGAAGATCCAGGAACTGTGCTAACACGAGTATTTTTCCCAAATCCCCTAATTTATATAACTCTGATACAGGTATTACTCCCTTCTCTTTAAAAGGAATTTCTTACGCTGAGAAATCCAAAGAAAGAAAATTAGAATAAAGCTATCCTCTTCGGTAAATTTGAACTTTCCTTCCCAGCCCTTATTGTTGGTAAAGGAATCAGGGAATTTTTTCTTTACACAGTATAGATTAGATTACAGTTGACCCTTGAACAATGATGGGGCTAAGGGCGCCAACCCCTGCTCAGTCAAAAATCTGCACACAACTTTTGACTTTCCAAAAAATTGCTACCCTCAATATCTGTGGGAGTCACTTGGTTCTAGGAACCACTGTGGATACCAAAATCCATAAGTGCTCTAGTTTCTTAAATAAAATGGTTTAAACCAGTGCATCCAGTCGGCCCTCCACATCCGCAGACTCACAGCCACAGATCAAAAACATTAGAGGTATTTACTGAAAAAATTCACATATAGGGTGAAGCTGAGTAGTTTAAACCATGTTGTTCAAGGGTCAACTTCTATATTGTGCATGGAAGTTTAACTTTACTTAAAATTTCTAACATGTAGGAAGAAGAAAGAAAACGTCAAGAGGAAATGGAACGCCAGCGTAGGGAAAGAAGATATATTTTGCCTGATGAACCGGCCATTATTGTACATCCAAATTGGGCTGCAAAAAGTGGCAAGTTTGATTGTAGCATCATGTCTTTGAGCGTACTTTTGGACTACAGATTAGAAGATAATAAAGAACATTCATTTGAGGTACTGTTTTAAGTTTGACTTAGGATCCACATAAGGGCCATGCAATTTGGGTAATTCAGGGGCCTTTTTTATTGCTTCTGGTTTTTGGTTTTTTCCTTGCAGTTTATTATTTTGGGGGGGAAACATGATTTTTCTACAAACTTAACTTTTGCTGATTGCATTCCTATGATATGGTTTAAATGTTCTGCTGGACTCTGTATTTCCTGTTAATTGATAGTTGGTTATAAGTCTTATGTTCTGGTTTAATGGTTTTTTTCCTAAGACTATTTCATAGGTAGTTGTATATTCTCTCATCAGGATATCAGGAAATATGTGTGATATGTCTAATTGCCTGTCTCGGAAATGAGGTAGTACTTTATAACTTATTCTAGAATTAAAATACCAATTAATGGGATTGAAAATTTAACTTGTGATTGATTGAGGTGTAAGAAAATAATTATGCATCGTTTCAACATGAATCTATTTCTTTGTACCATTATATCAGACTTGCTTTACAACATAGAGCTTAATGTAGTTTTTAAAAACAGTTAAAGATGTTTATCCCTAAATAAATGTTTGCTTCTTTTTTTTTTTAAGATTTTATTTACTTATTTTTAGAAAGAGGGGAAGGCAGGGAGAAAGAGGGAGAGAAACATCAATGTGTGGTTGCCACTCGCACACGCCCTACTGGGGACCTGGCCGGCAACCCAGGCATGTGCCCTAGACTGGGAATGGAACCAGCGACCCCTTGGTTCGCAGACCCCTTGGTATGTTGGCACTCAGTCCACTGAGCCACACCAGCCAGGGCAATTGCTTCATTTTTTTTTAAATAAAACAATGTAAAGTATCCCAAAATACTAATCTTTGTAATAGCTTCGACAAAATTATAATTGTGTTCAATTATTGTACCTTACCAACATCTCACACTGTTTTAGTGTATAAATTATATTAGAAAAATCAGTCATTCTTATTTGACCAAAGAGGTCATTATCCACCAAGTGGTAAGACAAAAATGAAATAAAGTGCTTAGGCTAGAAATATTTGCAAACATATATGGGGTGGGGGGAGGGGGCAAAAAATCCGGAATTTGTTTATAAAACATTGTGTATTTATTCTTACATGTTTAAACTTCAGTCACCTTCAAAGTACTCTGCATTTGATGCAATACATCTATCAGGATGTTTTTCCCACTGCTCAAAATGGTTTTTGAACTCCTCGATTTTGAGGTCTTGTAGTGCTTCGTCTGTTTTTTTGTTTCACCTCTTCCACATTGGCAAAATGTATCCCTTTAAGGACTTTTTTTTCATCCAGGAAAACAAAAAAAAAAAGTTGTTTGGGGTGAGATACAGTGACTAGGGAGGGTGGGGCACTGAGGTCATGCCTTTTTTGGTCAAAAACTGCTGAACACTCAGCACAGTGTGGGCAGGTGCGCTCGTAAATCACCCATCTTGAGATGGGCAAACATGCTGAAAGAGTTTTCAAAAACAATTCACTGAAGCTGAATGCAGCCTCTCACACCACCACCTGCCGGAACACTGATACAGATGGGTTCCTAGAACACTCACCTAGCCCAGGAAGCCTGTGCTACAAGGGGCCCAACAACTAGAAGATAATTCTAATTTTTTTTTTTTTTTGGCCTCCCTTTGTAGAAGATTACTGAGGCAGTTAGAATATATGAAGTGCATGCATGTTGGCATTGCTATAAAATGTTACAGATATTAAAATAGTTATTATTTTTCTTTAAAATTTTATTATTTTTTAGAGAGGGGAAGAGAGGGAGAGAAACATCCATGTGTGGTTGCTTTTCGCACACCCCCTCCTGGACACCTGGTCTGCAACCCAGCCATGTGCCCTAGACTGGGAATTTTAACTGGCGACCCTTTGGTTTGCAGGCCAGCACTCAGTCCACTGAGACACCAGCCAGGGCTAAAATATTTATTATTTTTAATGTATTAATGGTAATGCATTAAATAAGCCAGTATCCTTAAACATTATTTACTATATGATTTTATTTTTATCACTAGTTGCCATAAATTTAATTCATAGTAGTGCCTACCATGTTGTAGTCACTCGAAAAATAAGAAAAAAAGTCTTTGACATTACC